ACCTGCATCAAGACGGTCTGATTCTTGCCTCAATGCGATCCTCGAAAGCAGTTTAAGATGCTGAGGAGTTGGTTTCTTACTACCATGAATTCTGGAAGCGTGTTTAGCTCCATAATCTCTTAATTTTCCAGGTATAGTTCTATAAGGCTCTTGCTTTAAGAATTCGTTAAATGGCCAAGCATTACGTGTTCCATTTTCAGTATAGACGGGATCACGTAACTTTTTAGCCTTAATTGCATCTCGAATCCAGATGAGTAATTCCCTGGCACGTTCTGGATTCTTCTCTATGGAAAGAAATGGTCGGGGCTCAGGATTCTCCTTTTTTTCTCCTCTACTCTTTAAATAGCCTGTACAGTACCAAGAATAGCCTTCTTTATACCATGCTGGAATATTCGAAGGATCCAGTTCATAGTGATTGATCTGAAGAGATCTCACTTCCGCAGATCTCATGCTTAACATCACAATCACATCCGCAAGATCTTCTCTAGTAGGAATTTTAGATACATTTATATTCTGAAGCCTTTCAGTTACCCTCGCTAAGGAGAAGTGTATTGGAATTCTGTCTGGATTAGCCATTCGTTTCTTAGTTCGTTTTTTCTGAATTTTATTAGAGTCTTGAATAAGTTCCTTATCTTTGGCAAATGCTTTAATAATTGCGGAATCTACACCACCTTCTGCTAACTTCACACGGAATGTTAACTGTCGCGAGACACCGGCAACGATTTCATTTTCATCTTTATTTTTCGGGCCTAATTCTAAATGATGGGCGAAAATGTCCAAAGCAGTACCGGTCTTAGCGCAGTATTCCGCCCTCCCCTCTATGGTGAGCTTACCCTTTTTCTGATCTGGCATGAGGAGTTCTATCTGCTCTTTGCTAAATGAACGTCTTCTCTGACCAGTCCTTGCAAGGGCCTCTTTAACACACTTGCGAGCATTTTCATCTTGAAATAGAGCAACAAGTTCGGGAGCGTGTTCACGCAATTGTTCTGGAGTGGAGCTAGCCGATAAATTATGTTTTTCTAAGAACTTCTCTAAGACTAACACAAAGTTATTTGTTTTAGCTTTTTGGGTCTTTGGGTTAGTTTTTGCGGTAGTCATGTCGATAATAAGTAGTTGTAATTGTTATTGTTATCTTACTTATATTATGTGAGAAAAAATTCAATTCAAAAAAAATATTCTGACAATTCACTATATGTGGACCTCACTCATGATCGGTGGGCAAAAAAGAAGCGTAAGTATGAAAAGTCTTTTATAGCTTATCTTAATACTGAATAATTTAAATACAATCTTTATTATGAAATTAAAAGTGAAAGAGGTTTTATATCCTAAAATACTTACATGGATCGTGTTACTTGCCCGTATATTTTTAAGAGAGATGGTTCTGTTTGTGGGAAAATCTGTACATATACTACTGGCTGTACAAATCACCGGAGGTTATATGAAAAAAATAAGAAATTAAAACCCTGCCCTGTTAGTAGTTGTGTCAGATATCATGATTCTAGTACAGGATTCTGTCGCAATCATTCAGGTAGATTTCATTCGCTAAATTATCGGATGAGGCAAAAGTATGGGGCTGAGGCCCTTCAAGCTGAAAAGATATCTGAATTGTCTGCCGAGAAGTGAGCAAAAATATTATTCCATTCATTAGTCGATTATTATATAAAATTTTGGCAGAAGCCTACGTCTTAAAAGTATGTGACTATGTATCCTAGCTAGAGTGATGCAAGAATAGATTTTTTTACTGATAGGTGTAGCCTTCTGCGGAATTATATTATATAAAAATGGCAGAAGGCTACACATACCGAATAGTATTAGCACATATCGAATAAGTCCTGAATATCTTCTGTAATTTGCGTATTATCCACTTTACTAGAACTAGTAAAATTATCTAATATTAATTCATCAGGTGAGAGTTTACTATACCCATACCGAGTATCTTCCCCATTTTCCCAATAAATTTCTTCACCCGTTTGATATGAAGGTAATATAGGAGCGTCTTTAATATCGAATGATCCATATAGGCGGTAATATCTACGACTCCTATCTATAGCCTTAAATTTCAACCCATAAGTTGTATGTAGTGCTGAGTTTAGTAAACCAAGTTTTGCCCGATCTGTTTTCAATCCCGATTTTTTAACTCTGCGCGATGCATCTGTATTGTCAAATACCCGAGCCATTTTGAGAACTAAATCCTGGAGATGAGATATTGATTCAGGAGAATTCAGATGCATCTTAACATCATCAGATTTATATCTGGCTCTATCATCGATATCTCTAGTTGGTATACAAATTTTTAATAATTCTAGACAAATCCGATGTCTCTCAGCTCGAGTTATAGTTGTAAGTCTATCTTCTCTATAATCTTTACGGGTGATAGCCTCAACAGCTGTTTCGTTATCAGTACCAGCATCTCGTAACTGCCTATAAGCTCTGAACCATTTCATATGATTATAATTCCCATACTTCGAGATGAACTTTTCGGTCAATGATTCAGGTGAAATCTCATAACAATCTGCAATACGATGCCGGTCTAAAGAGCGTATCTCTTCTAAAGTCTTCATCGGCTTGCTTTCTAAAAATTCAGCAGTCTCACGATTAATAATAGTAGCATTAGTTATTGCTGATATCTCCTCCATTTTAACAACAGAACATTTTGCCTTTACTACTTGCAATAATGTATTTTCATTGGATTTAGGGCCGAATTCTATGATAGAAATTATCATACCTGCTTCTCTAAGAAAATCAACCATTCTCCAACCAAATAAGCGCTGGGAACGGAATTTTTCCAACATATAAGCTACCCATAAACGAACAGTTGGTACGTCCTTATTCCGGATGATAGAATCTATATCTGGAAATATTCCTCTATTCTGAAGTTCCCAGGG